TATTATGCAGTACATTACAAAAACACATGAAAATGGAAAATGCGGAACAGAATTTTTTTTTTTTTTTTTAATTCACTACAAATTGCTATCAATCAATTTTAATTTAATTTGATACAAGTGTATTTTCACGCATATACATACATACATATATACTACACACAAGCACACATCTAGGCTCTCACATACATTTTTCATACACATAATTATGTACATACAAACATGCGTACAGACATTTGGTTCATGCTCGGCGTATAGAATCAAACATCAGACAATAGACGAAAAGCATCAATCAAATCATAAAAGTCAATGATATTCCTGTATGCAGTCAATCAATTTAAATGCAAAAAAGGAAAACATACATTGCATTTATCCCATGGGCCATTAAAGTGGCACTTTGAATCGCGCCAAAGGATGTTATTCATTAGAGTGGGCCGAAAATCTGCTTTTTTAGAATTTTGATTGGTAATAGCAAAAATGCGCTAAAAAAATATCTTAGGCTCGCCCAAGTTCATCAAAGTTCAATGTGTGCAATTATCTTCGGAAGTATTAGTCCTACATTGGTATATGGACCTTTTTTGCAGAGAATCGAAGTAAGCTTGGCACCTGAACTTTGATGGACTTGGACGAGCCTAAGATATTGACCAAAAGTTTTAATCTTGTACACAGATTTTTTAAGAGCATAATGAACCATATTTTTGCCAATCAGAATTCTAAAAGGGCTGATTTTCGGCCAACGCTTTTATTCATCCTAGAGATATAAATCCAGATTCAACAAATTGTTTTCATATTATTTTTCCTCCTTTGATTTTTTTGCAAGTTATGTCATATTTGTTAAAGATTTTATGTTATTTTGAATATCCTTTAAACAATCTGGTCATATCGTGTTTTGTCCAACATTCAACATAAAAAGTTTTTCTTAGTCAATAAAACGAATTGTTTAATCGATAATTTTATTATGTTAACTATATTCTTTATTGTAGTAGGGAAACGCAACAAGGGATTTGGAGATACTCAAGCGCGGCAATTTAAGTGCATACCCTGCACCCTGTTGCGTACCTCCACCATACCAAAGCCCTCTGCGATTTATTGAAATCGAAACTTTGTGCAATATTAAAAAAAAATATAGTAATAATCAACAAATTTTCGTAAAAATGTCGAGGTCTTTAATTAGATTTCTTAGAAAGAAGAGAAAACACAGATGCACAAGTCTACTCTGGTTAAATTGTTTTTGCATCTATTTTTTTTATTAACAATCGTTATTTTTTCATCTCTTCAGGGCTCGTCCAAGTCGAAATTATATTTTTACTTAAAAACACTGTATAGAGGCTAAAATGATACAAAAAACCCCGAAACACGTACATAATATGGATCTGTATACCTTTTCTTTTCATTTTTATTAAAAAATTCAAACTTTAGCAAGGAAAAAATAAAAATAAGTTAATAGTAAAAAAATGTTTTTAAAACAAGCTTTCTAAATATGAACGAAATCTGACCATAAATACTAGTTTACCAAATATTTCGACTCCTGCGCCACCTATCGGCAAAATTTGTATGGAGTTATTCCTTTTCATGTAATGAATGTACGTTCTGAATATGAACACAAAGGTCTTACAAACCCCGGTTTTTCAAATATCTCGATTCCTGCGCCACCTATCGGATTGCAATGTCATCGAGTTCTGAGCCAACGGTGAAGTTTCATGTCTATAGGTCATCGTGAAGTTAGTTAAGAATTGATTTCACGATTTAACCCTAACAAACATACCTACAAATATACTTAGTACCAGGTTGACCAAGTTTTGGCCGGAGTGCATATACTTTTTAAAGTTTTCAGGATTTGGATAGCTTTAAAAAAAAATATTTTGGAAATAAAAAAAAATTTGGATTTCGATATCTATTTAGTAAATTTCTTACTCCAAAATTTAGGTGGCAACACTATCCGAAATACGCTGGAATAAATGTTACATATCTTGAGCGTATACATATGTATGTACTGTGTATACATAAAAAATGCTGATTGAAATTAACAAAATACAAATTTTTATTACATAGAAGCGTGGCAACCCTGATGGAAAATATTTTCTGACCAAAGTGCTCAACAATACCTTTCATTTGATATCCATATTGCGATGTTTTAGATAAATTGTGTAGAATCGAAAATAAGTGGCAACCTTACACTATTATCCCAAGGGATAACATTTTGTATATACGGGAAGCATTGTTTAAGGACCTTCTCTTGGTACCCATGAATAGTAATATTTTACCTTTTTTACTAAACAAAAAATTAAATAAACAAGCGACTCAGAATAGGTGGTGATGGTTGCCCCGAAAATCAGTTAGTTGCTAAAAACGACAATATTATGAATTGCGTGAGCTGGACACGGACAAAAAGGCAAAAACATGCCCTTTTAAGTGGTTGAGTGTAACATGTAACATATTCTGTACCAGGGAAGGGCAACATTTTTTGGTAGAAGCAAAATCGCCATAAGCCAGAGTGAATATATGCTTGTTGATCTGTTTTTATAAATCCTGTTTTTTTTGCATTATCGTAAGCGAATAATAATTTCGTTTTACATTAACCTAAATAAAAACCATTTCAAAAAAAATGTCTCATGGCATTATACAAATGTACCGAGTTTCAAAACCGACTTTCGCTTCAACGACCAGATTGTGAAATACATAAATATAAATTTTATTTATACTGTAGTTTTCTTCATTTTACTATTAGTATCATTTATTTATGTTAAATTTCTTACTTTTGTTGCACCCCTTCCCTTTTTCGTTTCATGTACCTATATTATTTTTGCTGCCGATTTAAATTTGAATCTAATTCGGTGCTCACGAAAATTGCGAAATAAAAAATTGATAAATTAATATCGGTTAAACTGAAACTACCGCTTTAACAAAAAAAAAAAACAAACATAACAATAATGGAAACATAAAATTCACTTAACAACAAACTTACCTAAACGAATGGTCGAACAGCCCAAAACGCAGTAAGTGAAAAATCCCAAACGCAAGCTGCTGGTGCTGCTGTCATTGCTGTCAGTGAAGAGCAAACCATAGCAGCTAATAAAGGCGCCAAAGCGTCTGAGCACATATCGCCTATTTTCGAACAACCCACCGGTGCTGGTGTAAACAAATTTACTACCGAAAGCCTACGGCACAGTGAATCTGAATTCGTTTCGGATTCCTTCCAAGCGACTAATGAAAAAGATTTAGAGGAAATCAAAGATGGTATGCGTAAATTGGGTATTGACACTATGACAGATCAAGCGCTCGGCAGTGATGGTAAGAAAACATTTTTTTGATTTTTATTTTTTTGTTTTTACCAATCAATTTGTTTGTTTAATTATGTATCTATTTAAATTTTTATATTTAAGTTTTGTATTTTTAAGTTCTTCTTATTTATGTTATCTTATACAACTTATAATTTGTATTGCCTTTCTAAGAGCAAAGCGCTCTGCATGCGTGAGCTTATGTTTGTTTCTGAATTTTAATATTTTTAATGACATTTTTTTGTGTTACAATATGCTTGAGTTTTTTGCACTACTCTTACATCTTACGAGACTAAAAACAAATTCCCAACGCAGTCCGAAAAAATATAGTTTTAACCTTTTGATATGTGTATATGCAAATAAATACAGATCTTTTAGAGAAGTATTCAAATTTTTGAAAGGAAAGAAATTCCATACGTTGGAGACTTTTTTCAAAATTTGTTTTCAATTTATTTATTCCTTCCAAATAGTAGGTTTTGTCGTGGAAGCACAAAAATTTAATTGAAATCTAATATTCTGTTTATTGTATTTTTTCAATCATCTGTATTTCGTGACCCACTTAAAAAAAACTACACTCAAATGTAATCTGCAGTTTTCAAGGGTTTTGAGGAGTATGTACCTAATTTTTTGAAAAATGAGCTTAAACCGCAGGCCTTAAATTACTTTAACACAATTTGAATCATACATACAGTAACTCAAACAACTGACCACGTGTTAATTTATTTTAAATATTAGCAATGTTTTTCAAGCTATTTTTTTTTTTTGTTTTTTCTATACATATATTATGTAAGCTTTTATCAAAACGTCATAAATCAAAGCTTCATTATATGTACATAAATTCTACAAATTTTCATCAAATTTCAAACTTATTAATTTGAATCTTTAAACCATTTTTGGGTATGCAGTTTTTTAACCCATAAAATTTTAGTTTAATCAATTGCAAGTTGAAAGCGGACAAAACTCGCGTTGATTTGTAATATTTTTTTTTCGCCTACCGACTTTTACACTTTTTTCCATATAAGCAAACTTCCTTATGAAATAATAATGCGAATTTTCGTGAATCCTACAAAAATACTATCACTTTACTATATACTTTATACTTCGTAGCAATTCGGGTTCATAGCTTGATAAAGCTTGTGAATATTAAAAAAAAAAATTAACACGTGGTCACTTATTTCAGTCACTGTATATGCAGCTTTGTACGAATTCCTTAACTTTTAAGCCCAAAAAATATTAATTTCGTCTTGTTCAAAAGCTTTCGTGTGCTGCACCCTAACTTTATTGTTTTAAAACACTTTCAGAACATCTACTATTAGGAAGACAAATAGGAGAATTTTCAATTTTTATTTTTCATTTCAATACAAGAATGAATATAAATTCTCTTGAATTCAAATAAGTGCCCAGCAGTTTCTCTTTACTAAGCAGTGTCTCACTTCAAGCACTTAAATCTCTTATAAAATTACATACATGTGTGAAACTTAGCCCATCATAAGCAGATCTCATAATTTCCTACAAGAAAGTTAGACTACATGAAATAATTTGCACAAAATCCAATTTTGTAAATGCATATCTCTTTCATTCAAATCGCAAACGAAAAAAAAAAAAAAATCATTTTTAAATCGCTGCAGTAACTCATTTACATAAAAATGATTCTAATCAATTTTTAATTCCATTTTACAAAAAAATCACACGACTACAAGTACATTATTACATTCATTGACGTTTCGAAATTTAAAAAAAACCGCAAATTCGAACTCTTTCTTTCTTAGCTAAATCATAAAACACTAGTGCATTCGCAAATCGCACTTGTTCGTGCAAACTTTGTTTTAGTACTTCTTATTCACCGCTTTCTTCTCAGACATTACTCCGAAAGCAGTTTGCTTTACATGCATTTTAGCAAATTTGTGCCCTACCACATATCTACATATTTTTTGCACTTTCTTCCAATGAATTTTATCACTTAACTGTATTCGTCTCATTGCTGATTTGCGCTTAGTAAAACCAAACAAACAAACAAAAAAAAAAACAATTACCTAAAAAATTTGCAAATTTGCCATTCAATCAAACAAACAAAAACGAAACAACCGTGTAAATTGTGTTTCTTTCTTTCTTTCTCATTTTTTCTCTCTCTCCTTCTTTTTTATCTTAACTTATATTGGTTACGTTCACTACGCCAACAGCAATGACTTTTAATTATTAAAATGAATGAATTAAGTCACGAAAGACGTTAATAACAAAACCCCAAAAACTAAACTGCATATAACAAAACCAGAACTAATTTAAAAAACAAAAAATGTATATCAATTATCAAAATGCAACGTGAAATATCTAATTTAAAGAAAAATCAAATAAAAATAGACGTTAAATAAGTACTTAACTAGCGAGCATCAGTAAAGATTCTAAATTGACCAAACGCAGATATCACTAGAAAGAATCAAAAGAAATACGAAATTACTAACGTGATAATGGATGACATCACACATACCCACACGTAAAAATACCGGCATATTTTGAGTGCGATCCTCGTAGTTATTAAATGGAAGAATTCTTTACGTACACCAAATTAGCCCACAGATACTTCTAGTTAAATATGTACATACATACTACATTTAAAAACTATATATGCTTAGTATGTATAAGTGTGTTAGCAATAGATAAAACAAC